AGGATGGGGGAAGTCCTAGAGAAGTCCTGCAATCGGGTGTGGGAGGAGGAGACCAGGGAGCTAGAGAGCAGGAGGTCCTGTGAGGAGCGGAGGGCACGGGTAGGGGTAGTATCTGGGTATCAGGTCGGTTATGTAGTTCGGGGCGGCATTGTGGGTGGCCTTGTAGGTCAGGGTTAGCAGCTTGAACTTGATACGTTGGGCAATCGGGAGCCAATGAAGGGATTGGCAGAGGGGGGAGGCAGATGTGGAGCGCTTGGTCAGGTGGATGGAAAAAAAACCTATTTTTTTTACAATAAATTCTTTCAAACTTCCTACACTCTGGGAAGTTCTCCTGTTTGATCTTTCATGTGGAGATATTGGAGGAGAACGAAAAAATCTATGGTCACATCTGAGTTACGCCTTTGAGTGCTTGCCATTGTTACTGGAGAGGAGTCCTTGTTTTGTTTTACTACTGAGGTCAACCCTCATTGAGATCATCGGTCTGGTTATATGCCCTTTGACCCCTGGCGGGTCGCAGTCTGAAGGTGAGAGCGCGCACTAGCTGGTGGACGATTGTTCGTTTGCAGTGACCACGGGATGTCTCACGGCTTGTGCTGAAGATTCACTGTCTCTGATGTTTTTGGGACTTTTTCATTTATATATTTTTTTAACAGAATGGGGATCATAGCCATTTGGCACCGCAGGAGGATTGTTTTTTTTTTCTATTCTATTCTATTGCTTTTCTATTTTGCGGTATTCCTTTCAATTCTATTATTTTATACTTTTTTATTTACTCGTTTATATATTTGCTGATCACCCATTCACATGTTTGATTGCACTTTGTGGTTACGTGGATGTTTTGCTGTGTGCTATAAGTATTTTTTGGTCACGTTTTTTACTCCTGTTGCTATTTGTTACACTTGTTGCTGTTTTCAGTGCTTTTTTTTTTTCATCTTCACACCTGGGGTTTATTTCATCTTAACACTTTATTTCATTTATATTTAGTTTCATGTTTATTGTCCATTTTATTCATGCATTGAGCAGCGCAACACCAATTCATTATTCAATAGAAAAGAATAGAATAGACAATAGAATAAAACAGAAAAAAATGTAACTGTCTTTCAAAACTCAAATTTTAAATAGAGTAAATCTGAATAGAATAAATTTTAATTAGAATAGAGTAGATTACAATAGAATAGAATAAAAATAGACTATAACTGTCTTCTGAAATTTGAATTTCGAATAGATTAAATTCGAACAGATTAAAATAGAATAGAAAATAAGAGAATAGAATAGAAAAAAAAAACAATAGAATAGAAAATAATAGAATAAAAAGTAAGAGAATAGAAGAGAAAAAAAAAAAAATAAAATAGAATAAAACAGATTAAAGTAGAATAGAAAATAAGAGAATAGAATAGAAAAGAATAGAGTAAAAAATAAGAGAATAAAAATAAAAATTAAAAAAATAAAATAGATTAGAAAATAAGAGAATGGAAAAAAAAATAGAATAGAAAAAAAAACAGAATGTAACCATCTTACGAAATTAGAATTTCAAATAGAATAAATTAGAATGCAAATTTGAATTTGGTCAAATTGAATTAGAAAATAATCAAATTCAAAGATGAAACAAAACGTATTCCGAAAACGAATTGAACAAAATTATTTAAATAACGAATCGAAACAACTTTCTTCAGCCTACACATGTCTACTTCCACCCGTGACAGTACGAGACCCTGCCATGGTGAGAATTTTGTGAATTTGTGTAAAAAGGACACCAGATCCTCAAAGGTTCAATTTGAGAAGCTCTGTCATTAAAGTGAGTGGAGAAAGCCGTGCTCTATATTTTCTCCGGATTTAGTAGTTTCAGATTGGGTTTGGGAGCTTGAAGGTTCCAAAGTATCTTGGGGCGGGATGGAACCTTCAATCCAGTGTCCAGGCTTTGCTTGACTCTTGCAGCCTGTGTCAGCGCAAGGAGAATCAATGTAAAAGGGATCTGAGCGTAGCTCGGGGGAGTTGTTGCTGTTTGAGTTGCAATTTCTGCAGCCAGGAGAGAGGTGAGCTCCTATCTAGAGACCAAGGCAATCTACTTGAGATAGCCCTCTTTGCGGGAGAGGTTCCATGTCAGTAGGTTGAGAGAGTTGGGCCAGCTGAGAGAGCCTGGGAGACTAGAGCTGAGACAACTGGGAGGGAGTCCAGGGGGCCCAAGGAATCTGTGAGTCTCAGAGGAGTGAGAGAGCCTGAGAGACTAGAGCTGAGACAACTGGGGGGGAGTCCAGGGGGGCCAGAGGAATCTGTGAGTCTCAGAGGAGTGAGAGAGCCTGGGAGACTAGAGCTGAGACAACTGGGAGGGAGTCCAGGGGTCCAGAGGAATCCATGAGTCCCAGAGGAGTGAGAGAGCCTGATAGACTAGAGCTGAGACAACTGGGAGGGAGTCCAGGGGGCCCAAGGAATCTGTGAGTCTCAGAGGAGTGAGAGAGCCTGAGAGACTAGAGCTGAGACAACTGGGAGGGAGTCCAGGGGGGCCAGAGGAATCTGTGAGTCTCAGAGGAGTGAGAGAGCCTGGGAGACTAGAGCTGAGACAACTGGGAGGGAGTCCAGGGGGGCCAGAGGAATCTGTGAGTCTCAGAGGAGTGAGAGAGCCTGGGAGACTAGAGCTGAGACAACTGGGAGGGAGTCCAGGGGGCCAGAGGAATCTGTGAGTCTCAGAGGAGTGAGAGCCTCTGTTGTCAAGAGAATGTTACCTAGAAGCTAGGACGGGGCCTGTGCAGTGAGGTACTGCGACCAAGGCTGGGTGAGCCTTAAGAGCCAGGTGGTTCAGCATTTTGTTGGAAAAGAAACCCAACTTTATGTTGGGCTTTTGCTTTATTTTTGGACTTCACTAAACTCCTCTACCACCAGGGCCATGGATAAGGGATACCACCAGTCCTCCTGTATGGGGCCCAGACCAGCAGGGGTGCCCATGCAGCTGGGTGATTCAGATTTGTGGGCAGGGAGGGTGGTTGGCATGGGGGAGGGGGCAATTACTGGAACCAATCCTACTTATGGCTCTCTGCAACAGCTGAAAGCTGGCTTCTTCTCCTCTCCCTCCCACTTGCTTCTATCTGCTGTGGAGAGCCATAAATGAGATTGGTTCCAGTAATTACCCCCGCCGCACCCATCACACTCCCTGTGCACCATATGTTTCCCTCTGCTGCCTAGGCCCCCCTGTGTGCCCCCACCCCTGCAGTGCTGCCAGTTTCCCTCCTCTCTACTGGCAACTGCAGTTACACAAAAGGGTCCTTTAGGATGGAAACTGAGGGAAGGGTTCGGTAAATATGTCACATTTAGCCCATTCCTATCCTGAATGAACACAATGAGCGATCGGTACCGATCATTCATAACTGAAGCATAATAAACTGTTTTTTGGTTTTTTTTGGGGGGTCCTGTCAGGTTGGCTGTATGGGGCCCCATGGTTTCTAACAGCAGCCCTGTCTACCACTTAGCTAACGATCCCCCAGATCGCACACCATTGAGCCTGAAGATAAATCGTTTTACAATACATGTCCGGCAGCTCTTGACGTTCTACATAACTGTAGCAATATTCACACACAATACAAATAATCAAAGAAACATCGGTACCTTTTATTTTTTTTCCTTCAGCGGCGTCCAATCAACTTACCAGAAGTGGTCATGAAGATGAAGATCATCCAATGGAGGATGCAGCCCATATGAGAGTCCATAGGCTGTAGGTCTCTGGTTTCAAAGACCCAATCCACACTTTTTGTCCTCTCCTTCTCTAGGGTGCACAGAAGAAGACACTCTCAGCCGTCTCACCTGGTTTTCTGGTAGCTATGGGTAGATCTAGCGGTTGTCTCGGAAATTCTGTTACGTTGCCAGTTCTGCATGTTACACGGTAAACATTAATTGGCAGGCGGAGGGAAGTAGGCTTTGTCACCAGCGGTGTAATGGACAACCTTTTTCATCGGAGTTCTCTAATCTATGCAAATCATGGGTTATTCATTGTGTTGACTCTACAGAAAAGAGAAAGAGCTTCCTTGTTGGCTTTGATACTTGAGTTTCAAAAACATTGAACTATTTATTCAGCGTTGGCAAGAAACCTGACTAGATTATCTGTCAAATGTGTATGAAGGGTAGATTTTCCTTAGGGCAGGTGTATATTTTCCATATATATTGAGTTGACTAAAGTCATTGACATCAGCATATGACAAACCAATGAGGGCTTACACTATATTGCCCCAAATATTGGTCGGCCGGCCTTTCCACGCACATGACCTTTAATGGCCTCCCCAGTCTTAGTCCGCAGGGTTCAATATTGAGTTGGCCCTGCCCTTTCCACACACATGACCTTTAATGGCCCCCCAGTCTTAGTCCATAGGGTTCAATATTGAGTTGGCCCCGCCCTTTGCAGCTATAACAGCTTCAACTCTTCTGGGAAGGTCGTCCACAAGGTTTAGGAGGGTGTCTATGGGAAGGTTGGACCATTCTTCCAGAAGCACATTTGTCAGGTCAGGTACTGATGTCGGGGGAGGAGGCCTGGCTCACAGTCTCCGCTCTAATTCATCCCAAAGGTGTTCTATGGGGTTGAGGTCAGGACTCTGTGCAGGACAGTCAAGTTCCTCCACCCCAAACCAGCTCCTCCATGTCTTTATGGACCTTGCTTTGTGCACTGGTGCGCAGTCATGTTGGAACAGGAAGGGGCCATCCCCAAACTCTTCCCACAAAGTTGGGAGCATGAAATTGTCCAAAATGTCGCCTTAAGAGTTCCCTTCACTGGAACTAGGGGGCCAAGCCCAACCCCTGAAAAACAACCCCACACCATAATCCCCCCTCCACCAAACTTTACACTTGGCACAATGCAGGTAACCTGGTAACCACAAAACCCAGACACATCCATGGGATTGCCAGACAGAGAACAGGGATTGGTCACTCCTGAGAACACGCCTCCACTGCTCTAGAGTCCAGTGGCAGCGTGCTTTACACCACAGCATCTGACGCTTTGCATTGCACTTGGTGATGGAAGGCTTGGATGCAGCTGCTCGGCCATGGAAACCCATTCCATGGAGCTCTCTACGCACTGTTGTTGGGCTCATCTGAAGGCCACACCAAGTTTGGAGGTCTTTAACTATTGACTCTGCAGACAGTTGGTGACTTCTGCGCACTGTGCGCTTCAGCATGCGCTGACCCCGCCCTGTCATGTGACGTGGCCTAACACTTGGTGGCTGAGTGGCTGTTCCCAGTTGCTTCCACTTTGTTATAATCCCATTAACAGTTGAGCGTGGAATATTTAGTAGCCAGGAAATGTCACGGATGGACTTATTGCCCAGGTGGCCACCTATCACGGGACCACGCTTGGAGTCACTGAGCTCCTGAGAGCGACCCATTCTTTCACCAATGTTTGTAGAAGCAGTCTGCATGCCTAGGGGCTTGATTGTATACACCTGTGTCCATGGAGGGGATTGGAACACCTACCTCACATGATATGGAGGGGATTGGAACACCTGAATCGCATGATTTGGAGGGGATTGGAACACCTGAATCACATGATATGGAGGGGATTGGAACACCTGAATCACATGATCTGGAGGGGATTGGAACACCTGAATCACATGATATGGAGGGGATTGGAACACCTGAATCACATGATTGGGAGGGGATGGGAACACCTGAATCACATGATTGGGAGGGGATGGGAACACCTGAATCACATGATTGGGAGGGCATTGGAACACCTGAATCACATGATTTGGAGGTTGGGGCCAATACTTTGGGCAATATAGTGTATATGCTGGATTTTGTCAACTTCATACAAGAATAGCAATAATGTAGCAAAAGTTATAAATTGCAAAGGCTAAAAAACATAGTGAGAGAATCCTTTCATCTTACTCCCGGTTCACACCTATGCCTGTGTTGCAATCTTCTGCGGGAAAAAAACAAGTCCCTGACCCTTAACAAACATTCAGTGACTAAAAACGCATAGAATTTATTCCATAGGAAACCATGTTAAATGGACTGTAGTGTGTTTCTGCAAAACGCAAAAAAAGCACTTAAAAAATGCATCGGCGTGAACAAGGCCTTAGGGTCCTTTCACACGGGAGTTCCGTTTTTTTTCATCCGTTCAGTCACATTTTTTCAAACAAAAACCGGATCAGTTTACATCAGTTTTTTAGATCCTTTACCAATGAAAAAATGGACCGTATGTCCGTTTACATCCGTTTTCATCCATTTACATGCGGTTTACGTCCCTTTTTTTTTTTTTTACGGAAGAAAAATATGGTTTTCTTCTGTTCAAAAAAAATGGTTATTAACCCCTCCCTCTCCAGGGGATTCCCCCCTCCCTTTCCTGACCAAGCCATTTATTGCAATACGGCGTTGCTTCACTTTAACTGACAATTGTGCGGTCATGCAACCCAAATGAAATTTACATCCTTTTTTCCCCACGAATTGAGACTTCTTTTGGTGGTATTTGATCACCTGTGTATTTTTTTTTATTTTTTGCGCTATAAAAAAAAGACCAACAATTTTGAGAAAAAATAATATTTTGGACTTTTTGCCATTAAACATGTCTTGTAAAAAAAAATCGAATTTTGTCATAAATTTAGGCCAAAATGTATTCTGCTCCATGTCTTTTGCTCGATAAAATTCCAATATGTGTAAATTTATTTTTTTATATTTTTTTTAAGTCCGTGGAGGTGCGAAAAAAATGAAAAATCTGTAAGTGAGCAAAAAAACGCGCAAGTGCAAAACACAAATACAAAAAGGTGCACTTAGGGGTGTGTTTTAGTCCACTCCCCCCCCCCCCCCCAAAGGGGTAGGGCCTCTACCCTGATCCCCCGGGGCACGAGGCTCCTGACAGGGACTTAGGTTTCCACATTGTCCACCTGACCAAAAGGCCTGGCAGACCCCTTTCCTTGTGGCTAGCCGAAGCCGACCACCAAGTACTGGGGGCTCTCCCGAAGAGATACCCCCCCCCAGGAACAGGGGAGGAAGGAACCAAAAGGCCACACATCCTCCTCCTAGACTTCAGGGCAGGCCCAAGGACCCACACCCTACTATCCGTGAGAAAAAAAAACACACATAAGCAGGGGCAGACTGACAACTCATGGGGCCCCCAGGCAATAGGGGATCATGGGGCTTCTGTGTCCTTGCCCAAACTCAAAAAAGCCTATGAAAAAGGTACCAGGGGCATCTCATGGGGCCCCCTACTGACCCCGGGCCCTTGGGCAGTGCCCGAGTTTCCAAATGGTCAGTCCACCCCTGCACATAAGTGAAAGGTGACAAAAATGTGGGAAATAAGTAGATAGATAAATAAAGTGGCCCTACAATTGTGCACTGGCTAGGCCCTAAGGCCTCTAGAACAAAAATTTCCCAGGACTTAGCCAAAAGGCCGAGCCATAAAAGGCGCAGTGCAGAAAAAGTGTTTTGGACCAGTGACCATGTGCACGTTTCACACTTGGGATCCCCTTGGGCTACTAAGAGCACCCCTGAGGCGAACCCTCAGGGGGCACTGCTCCGCAGACTCTCTGCCTCCCCGGCCAGACAAGGTAGACCCATTCAAATCAGGAGGAACTGGGCCCCTCCGGTTTTTTTCCTGGGGGGAATTACTCCCGGGTCCCAACTGCCTGTAGGAACCATGGTTTCTGTTCCAGCCGGTACTAGCATTCAGAGACCCCATCATACCAGCAGGGGTACTATACAGCCAACCATCCTCGCCAAGAAGCAAAAAGGACGGCGGAGCGCCCCTACTGGACACTGATTAGAACAGATACTACACTTGATCTTACCCAAAAGGCCGAATTGGTTTACGTGAAAGTTATGGCGGTACAGATATTGGGATTTTTTTTTTCTACTAGTAATGGCGGCGATCAGCGACTTACAGCGGGACTGCGGCAGGCACTCTGACACTGGGGGGGGGGAAACTAACTTGGTGTCACTGACATCCCCAGTGACACCAATAAAGTGATAAGCTAATAAAAAGCCCTGACACTCTTTTAATGGCACTGGGCAGGAAGGGGTTAATATGAGAGGCGATCAAAGGGTTAACTGTGTGCTGGGAGTGTTTTACTAGGGGGCGGGGTCTGTGTGCTTCACTGTAATCACACTGCTGAGGATGGCTGTACTGTGCAGTGTACCCGAGCTGACAGGGAGGAGGACTGTTAGTAAACAATACAGTCCTCCTCCCCATCAGAGATGCTCGATAATCACCGGGTGCCGGCGGGTAAATACCGAGCATCTCCGATGGGATCCTGGGACCCGGTGATTGACAGCTGCAGCCGCGAATATATATACGTGATTTTGCGCAGCCCTGCTGCCCTGTAGCAATATATCTTCTATAAGGCGGCGGGGAAGCAGTTAACAGATGCGGACATTAGCGGATGTAAACGGATGATCATCCGTTTACATCCGCTAGTCCAAAGAAATACATTGGGGTGCATTTTTCATCCGTAAACGGACAGTTGAAAAACGACCAGAATGCTTCAATAGCGTCCTTCAGTTCTTCTGCATTGTTCGGTCTCATGTCTCTCATCTTTCTCTTGGCAATGCCCCATAGATTCTCTATGGGGTTCAGGTCAGGCGAGTTTGCTGGCCAATCAAGCACAGTAATCCCACAGTCATTGAACCAGGTTTTGGTGCTTTTGGCAGTGTGGGCGGAGCCAAGTCCTGCTGGAAAATGAAGTCAGCATCCCCATAAAGCTCGTCTGCGGAAGGAAGCATGAAGTGCTCCAAAATCTCCTGGTAGACGGCTGCGTTGACCCTGGACTTAATGAAGCACAGTGGACCAACACCAGCAGATGACATGGCTCCCCAAATCAACACAGACTGTGGAAACTTCACACTGGACTTCAAGCTCTTGCAGTGTGTGCCTCTCCATTCTTCCTCCATACTCGGGGTCCTTGGGCCTCTCCATTCTTCCTCCATACTCAGGGTCCTTGAGCCTCTCCATTCTTCCTCTATACTCGGGGTCCTTGGGCCTCTCCATTCTTCCTCTATACTCGGGGTCCTTGGGCCTCTCCATTCTTCCTCCATACTCCGGGTCCTTGGGCCTCTCCATTCTTCCTCCATACTCGGGGTCCTTGGGCCTCTCCATTCATCCTCCATACTCCGGGTACTTGGGCTTCTCCATTCTTCCTCCATACTCGGGGTCCTTGGGCCTCTCCATTCTTCCTCCATACTCGGGGTCCTTGGGCCTCTCCATTCTTCCTCCATACTCGGGGTCCTTGGGCCTCTCCATTCTTCCTCCATACTCGGGGTCCTTGGGCCTCTCCATTCTTCCTCCATACTCGGGGTCCTTGGGCCTCTCCATTCTTCCTCCATACTCGGGTCCTTGGGCCTCTCCATTCTTCCTCCATACTCTGAGTCCTTGGTTTCCAAATGAAATGCAAAAGTTGCTCTCATCAGAAAAGAGGACTTTTGGACCACTGAGCAGCAGACCAGGTCTGTTTTTCTTTAGCCCAGGTAAGACGCTTCTGACGTTGTTTGTTGTTCAGGAGCGGCTTGACAAGAGGAATACGACATTTGAAGCCCATGTCTAGGATCCGTCTGTGTGTGGTGGCTCTTGATGCACTGACTCCAGCCTCAGTCCACTCCTTGTGAAAGTCCCCAACACTTTTGAATGGCCTTTTCCTGACAATCCTCTCCAGGCTGCGGTCATCCCTGCTGCTTGTGCACCTTTTTCTTCCACACTTTTCCCTTCCACATAACTTTCTATTAATGTGCTTTGATACAGCACTTTGGGAACATCCAACTTCTTCTGCAATTACCTTGTGAGGCTTTCCCTCCTTATGGAGGGTGTCAGTGATGGTGTCAGGTCAG